GGGAGCCATGCTGTGGACACGCTGGCTCGTGCTGCTGCTCTGCTGGGGGGCCACAGGCAGCGAGCAGCAGGCGGATGAGAGGGGTGCGGTACCGGCTGAGGTCCGGTCGGACTCCCGCAGAGAGCGCTCACCTCCGCCGGTGGAGCCGCTGGATTTTGGGTTTGTACCCGCGGCGGTTTACGACACCCACGCTTATTACGAGCCAGGGAGCATGGGGATCCTCTTCCATATGGTCCACGCGTTTCTCTACATCCTTCAGCCGAACCCCTTTCCCAAAGGTGAGATTACCGACACCTCCCCATCCGTGTTTCCTATTCTCAGGACGTTGTATACCACCGCTTGTAACGCGTGGCCTAGTTCAACTTCAACGTTAGTGCGGCTCGAACAGGTGCGACCAATCACATTTAATTAGGCTACCTGAGGAGAAAGTTCAGCAAGTATTTTTAGCACCCGGTTTATTATCTGTTATTTACAGCAGCAGAACTCGTTATGACCACAAACTTGACTCAACCTTACTTGTCATCCAGATGCTGCTGTACAGATGCTCAGTATACATATGTTTATGCATATCTGTCTATATATGAAATAGAAGTGCACAGTCCATTTAAGTAAGAAGTGCATTACTTGTCAGTGTAATCACAGGATTTTTAAAGGCACGTCACAATCACAGGACATGAGACAGAGAGATACTTTGTGTGCACTAAATGTGCAATTGTTGTGGAAAAGTGTACAATTGAGAATGTGTGTATGCAGGGTTTCTCTTGGCTTAAAGCAGGCTTTCAGGGATGAAACTCTATTAGTCTGCATATGAATAAGCTAATTAGTTTGCATAACCTTACTTAATAGATGTCTGTGGATTTTTCTCGTATTTTTATCCATTTGAAAATCAAATAAACGTTTTCTGATTGGGTAAATTCAACCACATAAAAAAAAAATTCATTATAAATAGATACAGCTATATTAAACATATTTTTTTACATGAAATAAAAATATTGATATGCATTTCAATATTAAAGCAAGTAAGTAAAAAAGAAAAAAAGTGGACCATTGTTTTTTCATTTAAAGGTCTGGGTCCACACAAGCTATGATTAATGTGAGAATCTAAATATATATATATATCCTGATTAAACAAAGACATTTATTTTTAGACTTTGATTCTCCTCACTGCCCATACTGATGCCATGATCTGTTTTGAGGCATTGAACGTCAGGCAGCTCACAAATCACTGACTTGGCTTAGAGGTTGGGGACCTGACTGGACTGTTGTACGTCATAAACCAAATGGCAAAGTCCAAATAAACAGTAATAACC